ACTCCCCCAAACCCTGACATCCAGTTTGCTTAACCACCGGCCACATTTGACTGAGAACAAGAGTTGAGAACAACGAAGGGAAGCGGTCGAGTCCCCACCCCTGGGGGGATTCAACAGCCGGGCAGAGGCGGTGCTGAGGGCCGGGGTTTGGGGGGGGGATGGCAGGGGTAGGGGGGCGGTTGGGCTGGGGGAGCTGAAAGGGCTTTGCCAACCCAAACCATTCCGGGATTCTATGAAAAGCAGAGAAAACATGGAACCAGGAGATGGAAACCAAGAGGGAATGGCAGAGCCCATGCCAGAAGCCAAGAAACAGAAGGACTGTGGCGACACAATGTGTAAACCCTTTACAGTAATTGACCACCAAGCGAGAACGCCTACACAAGCCTGACGCCGCTGTCTTAAACAGTTCTCAGCCATCCCAGAACTTGCTCCTTTGGGTTCTTCTCCCTGGTACTGCAGGGCTTTAGCGTTTATTTCTGGTCTGCTTTGGGTTTGGGAGGATGTGAGAGAATCATAGAATCGTTTAGGTTGGAAAAGACCTCTAAGATCATCAAGTCCAACCATTCCCCTACCCCTGCCATCCCACCCCCAAACCCCAGCTCCCTGGGCAGCCCCTTCCAGCCCCTGACAGCCCCAAGGGGAAGGAATTGTTCCCCATGGCCAACCTCACCCTGCCCTGGCACAACTTGAGGCCGCTGCCCCTCGTCCCAGCGCCCCTTCCCTGGGAGCAGAGCCCGACCCCCCCCAGCTCCCCTCTCCTTTCAGGCGGTTGTAGAGGGCAATAAGGTCTCCCCTCAGTCTCCTTTTCTCCAGACTAAACAACCCCAGAAGAAAGGACCAATCTATACGAATCCCGCTCTAAACCTTCTTTCCCACCCCCCCCAAGTCTCCCACTCCGGGAAATACAGGCTTATTCACTTATTGATTCCAGCCTCCTGGCATTAATTCAGCCGAATCCCCTCACAGCCTTCAGAGATAAAGCTGAACCTCCCAGTTTGATTGACTGCCCGAGGACTTTTTTTCCCCCCTTCTCTAGCTTTATGCCGGTTTCTGTCCTAACAGCTTCCTGCACTTGCTTCCATGATCCTGTCCTAACCAAACTGAGAGGTATGAGACAGTACCACAATCCTGTGGTACAAGAAATGAAAAGAACGCTTCCTGGGTTCCTAATTCTTGCTTAATTCTCGGGTTTTTCAGGTCTCCCTTGCCAGTTTACACCCTGTGAAAGATACGGGAGCAACCGATGCTCCTCTTAGCTTTTATTGCTAAATAAGTTTCCAGCAACAGGACCAAAAACCCAACAGCTGGGTTTGGAAATAACAGCTTTTCCTGACACTCACAGGGTCGCTCGCTCGCCTTATTTCCAGCTGCTACCACGCACCCAAGCCGGTCAGATCCACTGCAGCCCTTCCCTTAGGTTTGTCTATGCCAGGAGTAGCCGTAATTGCCACTCCGATTTGAATTCTGGCAACCAGCAGGTAGCCCATGCAGTTAGAAAGAGCTGCAAAACTCCCGCTCCTTGCTTCTCGCTTGAAGAGGTCTCAGACCCCTCTGCCTAAACGAGAATTAAACTGATTAATCACGCGGGACTGCACATACGGCTATCGATTCCTTCAAGGCCAAGAGGAAAAGCAAGAGAAGACTCCCAGGCTGCTCCTAGTCATTCCCTGGCACATCCAGTTGAAAGGAAGAGAATTGTCGGTATTCCTTTCACTTTTCCCAAAGGAATTTGCCAATATTTGCCAGGGCTGGAAGTTGATTTAATCTAAAAACTTTCCCAAGGGAGCTGGTAAACCGAGGAAGGCAGCGAGCACCACCGCAATACTTCCCTCCACGGGAAGGTTCCGTCCTTCTCTGCTACACCAAGTTGTTTTACGTTTGCGCTACACAGGTAGCGGAAGATGTACGAGGGCACTCTTTATTCAGAATAAAACTTGCAGCCGCCCAGCGTTGTCTCGGAAAGACAACATTGAAAAGAAAGATGGGCCCGATGTTTCTCTCCTCGACTGCACAGGGAAAGGGGACGAAGCAGCGCCTCCCTCCCCCCTCATATGTGAGCTTGAGAGTTTGGCTCATCGATGACAACAGCAAGAGCCCGGCAACTCAGTGGTTAACGCGTTAGAGCAAGTAATAATAGAGTGGCTCAGGCTCCTGAGAAGGAGGAGGCAGAACTGGGCTTAAGAGGGGGCCCAGCGCACCTTAAACATAATGAAAAATGGCTTTTCTGCTGACAGGCTGACATTTCAATACAATGTCAACAACATGTAAAGCACCTTCGCTCCTCTATAACGGCATCCTTAATAAAGCTATTCACACCACAGACACTTATGACTAATGGGGTGCTGCCTGGTGTAAATAAAACTCAAAAGACTCACTCAAAATAGATTCCTCCTCCTCTTCTGGTAGCGCCTGCCCCCCTCTCTGCATTCATTCTGAAGCAAAGCCACCGTCCCCTTTTTCTCCCAACTTTTCTGCCGGAAGATCAAACGGCTCTTTACATTTCAAATGCGCGGCATTTGGTAAAAGCAAATCAAGTTTTCTGCAAGCGGGCATATAAGGGTTTTTAGCCCTGACCCCAGCACCTTCGTACGTTCCCACCGCTGCCGAAACGCAGCCACCCCTGTGAGACAGACAACGGCAACGCCAACGGCCAGCTTTGCGATTCGGGCTCTGCTAGAAGCTGGAACAGATCAACTTAAACCTGCTGGCCCTCTCCCCAAAGGAGCTCAAACTCTGCCCAGCCGGAAAATGCAACCCCTGTTTGCCAACCACCATGCAGGCTCAAAGGCAAACGCTTGGACTGACGCCTGGCCGAAGCATGGGTGAGGATTAATGTGTCCCAGGAAAGGGGGTAGGAACCCCTGGGAACCAGGTGAAAGCCAAGTTTCCCCGTCCATGCCTCACCCTCTCTTAGAGGCACAAAATCCCCTCGCAAACCGAGCCAAGCTGTGCTTTCAGACTCCGCTGGCGCTGTACACAATCGTTTCTGCGCGTCATCTGCTCCCTGTATGCTTCTGGAAAACATGGGGGTTTGGTTCCCCGTAACTTTTCTGGAAGAGCAAGTTCCTACTCCAGCTGGCCACAGAGCGGCTCGCAGAGCTCGTAGCAGCTCGTTTCGCCCTCCTCGTACCCGCTCTCCAGTACCCCGAAAGGAGTTTGCGAGGTTTAAACTGTTGCTGGGAGAGATTCTCAGCCTCGTTAAGAGAGCACACGAATCAGACCAACAGCCGTTTGCAGACACGGCACACGCTGGAGCAGACCCAAGGCTCCCAGCGCCCCAAAACTCTCCCTCCGCAGAAGTGCTCGCAGATCTCGTGAGCCCCAGGGTCTTAATCCACTCCCCGTTAGACCATCTATTGTTTCTTGTATCGTTTTAATTTTTGTTTTCCACTAGTTACAGCCCAGAGACCACCTCTCCACAGAGCTGGGCTCTTTGTTCCCCTGTTTAAAAACAACAGAGGTGCCCCCCCCCCACACCCCTGCACTGGGCGATGGCTGTTGCGCTGTCAATTGAGCAGTCAGCGCTCTCAAGTCCGCGGTTTTGCTGCCATCTCTGCCAGCGGGAAGACTCCCTCTGCTGTTCTAAACCAGCAGAAGGCCCGGGGCTACAACCCCTCACGGCATCCCCAAAATTGGGAGCCGCACAGAATGTTTTCAAGTGGGTCAAGCTGGGACATTCGCAGTCAAAGAAATATCCCTGCAGTCGGTCGAGCTCAGAAGAGAGCAGCTTCCGTCATCAGGGGGAAAAGCCAGAACTGGCTTTGGATCTTGAAAAGTGTTTCTGCTTTTTTCGTTTTTATTGGGATGGAGGAAAATGTTGTGCTTAATTATCAAAGGAACGGCCGAAGAATACAGGCCGCAGAAAAAGAGCTAAGGGCTGATTTTAGCTTTCGGTTCTTTTCCAAGCACGGCTGCTGCGGATCCTTCGGCGTCGCTTCAACGCAGTTCTGTTAATTTATTTACTTATAAAGTTTTCAGAGGCAACTCTGCAGACAAGACCCAGCGTTATCAGCACACAAGTGCCGATGGATCGGGAATGCTCCAACATCCCTGTCAGAGTCCAGCTGTCGGCTGGAGACAAGCGTTGTGTGACCAGAACCCACATCGCAAGGCTTTGTTTTTCAGAGGGGGAGAGGGGGGGGAAAACCCGACCCAACCAAGCATTGGAACGATATTCCAGAGTACGGAAAGACTTTTCCTTCATTCTTGAAGATGAGTTTTAATTCCAAGGCTCCCCTATGAAAAAACAGCACAAATAAAAGCATCAGGCAGGCTCCATGCGTATGCAGCGCCCTCGTTACGAGGTAGATTACCACGTCAGGTGACACGAGCGCGTGACGTTCAGGTGATTTCTCTATGCTTAGTAACACGTTATTTACTTTAACGTTGCTCCACAGGCGTTTACGAGATCTTGAGCAGAGCACTGCAAGCTGACCTACCCCAACAAAACCGTTCTGCATACGCTACGGTACAAAACCCATGGTCAGGTCGATAAATAAATGTGGACAAACATAGATATGGAAAAAAATCAGGCCTTTAGCTAAGCAAGGTCGCTTTCCTCCCCGAGCCTTTTGCCACAGGGTATTGGCTTAGTTCGACGCTGAGGATGACCCACCCGTTTGGAGAAATAGGCTGTTGCATTCACGGCTGTTACGGCCGCACACGCATCACGTACAGCCCCCAACAACGCATTACCAGGCTTTTAGCCTAGATTTGCTTCCTGCCTCCGCTCTGTATTTTTCCGCGGAGGCTAAGTCTGAATTTACAGAGACAAGAAGGGAGAGCGGGCGGGAGGAAAACGCAGGTTTATGTGCATTCTGGGCTGTACTATTCCGCTCCAGCTGTTTGAATGAGCAGCTCCCAAGCCAGCAGGAGGGCTCTGGACCACAGATCCAGAGGGAAGGGGGATTGGAGTAAATGATCTCCCGAGGTCCCTTCCAACCCTTGTGATTCTGTGATTTTCTGTGGAAAGCGACCCCGCTCCGCAGCCCGACGCTCACCTCACGTGGAGAGCTTCACTTGGTCGGCGCAGAGCAAGAAGGCGTTGACGTGGTCGCTGCAGTTCATGACGGAGGCTTGGTTCTCCTTCAGGCACTGCTCGAAGGCGGCGAACGGCTCGGCGCAGTCCTGGCGGATCCGCTGGACGATCGGACTGCGGGATAAAACACCGGCGCCTCAGCTCCCGGGTGCAACCATTAACAAGGCCCAGCGTTACCCAACCCCGACCCCATCCCTCTCCTCACTCACTGGGCGGCGGCGCAGCGGGAAATGCTGAGGCGAAGACCATGACAGTCGCGCTGCCAGGAGGCCGGGCTGGAGGCCACGCACCGCCCGTACTCCTCCATCTCGCTGCGGCAATAGCGTGCCGTGATCTCCAGGGCCGCCTGCCTAAAGGAAAAA